ACCCCGCCCACCTTTTTCCATTTTTGGAAACATTCCCACATATCCTCTTACTTCTGTATATGACATGAATAACCAATCGGAAGCTCAGAATGTCCTCTAGTGGCTTTCTCAGCCATTTTAATGGGTTTGTGGCTATTTCTTTCTTTTGTCCCAATATTTCAATGAGATAGGGTGTGGCTTTAATCTGCTCAAAATTTCATATATTTTTAGACTAAAATACATCTTAGTTACTAAGCGTGATAAATTATAATGGAATTCTATGGTATTAATGTAGTAATTTATGATTTTTTAGTTATTCAAATGTATATATAAAACCTAAAAAAATATTTTGTTTTGTATCCTCCATGTGCAAATTTTTAAAGGCTTAGCAACCGAGTACAAAGGTCGTAACTAGAAGAGATAATTGTGTGCTTTACTTCTTTAGTTACCGTTCTATGTTTTAAGAAAAATAAGTTTAAGAACTTGTTTCAAAATAGCAATAATCTATATACATATGTAATGTATAATAATTGATATGTGACTGTATTTTACAAAATTCTAGTCGGCTAAAACACAGCCAAGACAAGTTACTTTGTACAGACCAAAGGTCAATTTTATGATATTTAATACTTGAGTGCATGTGAGTCGCATCATTGTAACTTCTGTATTGTTAGCCAATAAGATATGATATAAAGTTTTTTCTTAAGAAATGTTTGATAACTATCTGTACATTATAAAGATTTTGCATGTGAAATTTCAAAATTTTCTGACGCGTAAAAATATTTTTCATCTTAAAAGGAATATTAGTTTGCATGATAGTTAGCCAACATGCGAAAAGAAAAAAAAAACAGAAAAATCAGAAAAACATTGCATTACAAACCTTAAGACTTAATAAAAAAAATTTATATTTTGCCTATGAAAGTATTGTAATGTTTACTGATAATCTGCCAAATTTCGTTAACAATCGAATACAAATTTAAAAGCTATAACATGAAAACTATAACAAGCAAAAAATGGTTACGAAGTCAGTCCAAGGGACTGAACTCATGTTGAAAGAGTTAATAAAACTAACTGAAAAATATTTGTTGGGTGTTGATAATTGTACTAAGAAGGCTTTAATACAGCCCCAGGATAGTACTTGTTATCAGTCCCTTCTCTACTTATAAAAATTAATTATAATAAATTTGGTTCTGATTTAGTAAAAACTGCTATACCTGATGAATCACCTATAAGCTTTTTTTTTCTTTCTTACTTTCTAGAGTTCATAAATAGGGCCATCTCATTCACTATACACTTTCAAGTAGAAATAGCTTAACTGAATATACATAGGGGTGGTCCATTGGAGAAGTAATGGTGGCTATAGTTCCAAACTTATGAAGTGGATCTTCACAAAGTGTGGAAAGCTTACAGACAACACTAAGATTCTATTGTACACAAAAAATTTAACTTGTTACTAAAGTTTTTGTACTAAAGATATTTCAGTGAAATGCTGAAGTCAGTCTAACTCAGACTAGACAAGTGGGAGTGTGAAGTGATGTTCGTGCAAAATAGAAATTTTTGTCCATTGTATAGTTTGCAAATTGCATTTGCACAACCTCTACAATATTCTAAATGCATATCTAAAGTTTTTAAGTATCTCTGTATATTGTATCTGGTATTTCCTCTGTTGTAACATGAACTGTTGCAAAATCAGTGATGTAAGGTAACTTGAAATGCTGATAACTTTGACTCCAACTTGTGTACATAGAGTTAACAGATAGAATATTTTTTTATCTTCATCACTTCTTTGTAAGAGATGCTAAGAAGTTTTTTTAGCATTCTACAGAGTTTAAATTATTTACTTTTAATAAGTTGTTTTTTGGCAACAACTGATTTAATAGTCTTATACTAGCATTATTTGGTAGAAGAACATTACAGCAGCATGTGGCTTTTTAGAAAAAATAATATTTTCTAAATTTCCTTACACAGAATTCTTAGTCTCAAACTGTGCCATCTGTATGAGCATTTGTCTGTCTCTATTTGAAAAGATGTACACATAGGCAAAGCTCAACATTCACTTTTGAAATGATGGGAGAACAGGCATAAATAATGTTGATGCCAAATTTTATTTCACAAGCAGGATATTCTACATTAAATTTCAAAATGTGACATAACTTAAAGAATAAAAATGTAGATTTACCATATGTTATTGTTGAGTGGCTCTTAGCGTGACTGAAATGCTCAACAATTACTTTTTGCAGTGGGCACTATAAGTGTGAAACCAAGAGTGCAACACAATTAACTTAACTTTCCTGTCACTAGGGATGGGTACTTTTGCTAGATTAACTTAAACTTTTCCTGTCACTGGGGATGGGTACTAACTTTCCTGTCACTAGGGATGGGTACTAACTTTCCTATCACTAGGGATGGGTACTAACTTTCCTGTTACTAGGGGTGGGTACTAACTTTCCTGTCACTAGGGATGGGTACTTTTGCTTGTTAATGTATCTTTTACTCTCCCATAAGTACTTTACCTTTGACAGTAATTTTTATTATCAAATTTAAGGTACAATATCTTTGTCATCTGGTCACTTGAAACCCAGTTATTTAAAAGAGTTTGTAGAACAAATTATTTGTTCTTTATTATTATATAGACATTTCAATCAGTTTTTTAAGTTATACAAGTCTCATTATTATTGTTCAGAATATCTGTATAAACTTTTTTGTCTACCGAAATCCAATGCATGAACAATATTACCTACATTTCAATGCCTCTTAACCTATAAAAAAAGTACCTTATAGTCAGTGGTTTAGTCCTGTGGGTTGTAAGGGAGTACTAACTCCTGACTTCATATGCAGGAGTAATGCCACTCCCATACTTTAAGTGCAGATTATTTTCTTATGCTGTTTTCTTGTACATTCCAATTTGGATCAATAGAATTGTCATCATGCCTTTAATATGGAATGCTTTATATAAAATTAAATTTTTATCATTTGCTGAATGTGGTATGACCTTGCATATATTGCTGATTTACAGTAATATATCTCAAGCAATGATTTTCTGAAAGGGAGATCATGGTAACCCTTCACTTCTGACTTTAACAATACATCACTGCTTATGGTTAAGTGTAAAGCCTACACAAACTGTTTAGTCCTGATGACACTGTGGTCAACTGCAAGAAGCTCTTTGTATAGTGGATATCTTAGTATTTTAGAAATTATTATGTTAATTGTTAGTTTTAATTTTGATTAGAGAAAAACTAAATACCATGGGTGATGCTCACATTATATATGGACAACACCATTATTTCAGAGCCTAAAATAATAATGTTGAAATTCAAATCACTGGGTTCATATCTTTTAGAAGTAAGTTTTATTATTTGTAGAATCAGTCCTATGAATTTGCATTATGACATAACATTACTGATGTGAAACACATATGGCTAGCATAGTCAGTCAAAGCATGCCATAACTAATGTGAGTATCTAGCTTGCTTATTGTCATGTAAAAATCACGCTAGTTCCAAATGTCACAACACCTCTACTCAAATGCATCTATATTGATTGTATATTAACTACTTACTCAGTTGTGCATTTACTTTTAAATAGTCAGCTGTGTTGAAAGCAAATTTTTAATCTTAGGGCAGGGAAGATAATAAAATGTAAGCTTCCATTCACACTGAAAACAAAGACAGAAATAAGCTTTAAAATTTTTTACTAATTTTAGAGGAAGATAACAGAGCTACCTCAACATAAAATTTGATAACCCTACTCAAGTGCTGGTAGTCTGTTATTACATTTCTTAAATAAATGTTCACTTCACATGCTTGCTGTCTATTACTACTTGTGATACATGAGTAGACACACTGATAAAATAAACTGCAGTATGATGCAAAATTAGAAGCTTCTAGTGGCAGATTGTTTCCAACCAATGAATATGCATCAAGTTAAGGAAGTTATTTTTGTTAAATACATATATATGTAAGTATTATACATGTTTCAGTTTATACAGTTAGTAGGTCTATTAAGTTTATACAGTTAGTAGGTCTATTAAGTTTATACAGTTAATAGGCCTATTAAGTTTATACAGTTAGTAGGTCTATTAAGTTTATACAGTTAGTAGGTCTATTAAGTTTATACAGTTAGTAGGTCTATTAAGTTTATACAGTTAATAGGTCTATTAAGTTTATACAGTTAGTAGGTCTATTAAGTTTATACAGTTAGTAGGTCTATTAAGTTTATACAGTTAGTAGGTCTATTAAGTTTATACAGTTAATAGGTCTATTAAGTTTATACAGTTAATAGGCCTATTAAGTTTATACAGTTAATAGGTCTATTAAGTTTATACAATTAATAGGTCTATTAAGTTTATACAGTTAATAGGCCTATTAAGTTTATACAGTTAATAGGTCTATTAAGTTTATACAGTTAATAGGCCTATTAAGTTTATACAGTTAATAGGCCTATTAAGTTTATACAGTTTATAGGCGTATTAAGTTTATACAGTTAGTAGGTCTATTAAGTTTATACAGTTAGTAGGTCTATTAAGTTTATACAGTTAGTAGGTCTATTAAGTTTATACAGTTAATAGGTCTATTAAGTTTATACAGTTAATAGGCCTATTAAGTTTATACAGTTAATAGGTCTATTACGCTTATACAGTTAGTAGGTCTATTAAGTTTATACAGTTAGTAGGTCTATTAAGTTTATACAGTTAGTAGGTCTATTAAGTTTATACCCATGTAGGAATATTTGTCCTACAACACACATATTATCAAAGACCAGCCATAACATATTCACTTAGCTTAAAACTAGTTTAATGCTGGCAGTACTTGATGTTAAAGTAATATTGATAGAATGCAAGATTATTCAGTAACAAAAATTATTAAAAGAAGCTTTACTGACTAATTATTGGTGGAGCAAAGACTCATTGGCTCCACTACCCTTGATAAAACTTTCAGTATTTTCCATTTATTTTCCAGCTAAAAATGTTTATAAATCATTTGAAGAGTTATTGTAAAAGGTGGAGATGTGTTTTTCTAGTTCATCTCCTGGGGTTACTGAAGTGGTGGGCAAAACCAGAAGACTTGGAGAAGAATCTAAAAGCCCTGATGCAAGTGGATGGAGAAGAAGTAGTTAAAGCAAGTATAAGCTTCTGCTATACCACCAATAAAACATTGACTTCTAGTTGAGATATTTCACAAAATTTGAAATAATATGTACATGGAGGTGAAATGTCAGTTTTCACAAATCAGTGAAAATAAGTTTTTAATTATTGTTTTGATTCTTTGCAAATAAATATATAATTTCATTCTGCCCAAACATAACAAGGTCAAAAGATTTATGTTTTCTAGCTATAAATTACTGGTTTCTAGCTTTATGTCACATCATGATGTATAAATTTATCCCAAGAACAGTGTAATAATAATATCTGTTAGTAGAAGCAGTGATAGTCCAATATAATTTAATAATCCCATTCAGTATACAAATATGGAGCATTGTTTATTGTCTGGAAAATATATTCTTCTGTGGACGATATTTGTATCAAATGATGACTCGTATATTGAACTTAAAATTGCTAAATTTTTTGTATAAAATTTTAAAGTATGTATTGAACACAACAACATTTGTGTAAAAGTACTGTAGTACATTTTGTATTTGTTCTTGAACTCTTTCATGCTATTCACTTTGTTATAATTAGGCATGTCCTTGCAATATACATCAATTTTGTTTAAAAAGAAAACCATACCATTAAACCTTTAGTGATCAGAAAGTATTAGCTTAACCTTCTCAAACTGTATACTGGTCAATTTAATAAAGCCATGTTTTTGTTTGTAGTTTCTTCAAGATACTTTGGATGCACTGTTTAGCATCCTGATGCAAAACTCTGACTCAGATTTGTTTGATAACCTGGTTTTTGAGACATTGGTGAGTATTATTTATAGGTTTGCTGTGTTGAAATTGCTGGTATTAAACAACTGTTACTCATACACAGAAACACTATGAAGTTTTATAGTAAACAAGTAAAGAAAAAACTTTTCAAAAATGGAAGTAAATGTATGGATGCCTAATATCAATCCTTCAAAAACAATGTAGACAAGATAGTAGGGATGGCAAATAAGACAAATTTAACTCAATTGTGATTGAGTCATTATATATATATATATATTGCTATATGTTAATTTTTGCCTGTGCTATTATTGTTCCTTAAGGATCAATATTAGCCATCCCTACATTTACTACATTTGTTGAAAAGTTTTTTATTTACTTGTTTGCTTTTTTTGAATGCAGTA